TGGTGGTGGTTACATGATTGCACAGCTTTGTCAAAACCCAAAACTCATCTGTGAAGGGTGAATGTGACCATATTTAACTTGTACCTCAAAAAGTTTGGCTTTAAAACTTCATAGATTCCAACTTCCAGAGAAACCATCTGTACTTGACCTTTTTGTTACATACCTTTTCTCATTTTGACAAGTATATCTAAATTTGACCTTCAGATGGGTTTTTAGATTTTACCTGAGTTACAGAAAGTTAAATGTTTTCATATAGTTTGTTTTCATATAGTTTCTTTCCCCCAGTTATCCAATTTCAGGACTTCTAAAGTAGTTTGATAAATAATAACAGCAGTGGCAGCCAACATTTATTGAGTCTTGTGCCCAGAAAAAGTCTTATCTTGATATCCTTATGAAGTATATATGCCTTATTATTACTCCCATTGCAAAGATTAAGTAAATTGAGGTCAGAGAGATTTAAGAACTTCAATGAGATCTGATCCGGACTCAGGTGTACTTTTCTCCATTGTTGGTACTCTTTTTTTTTTTTAACATTTATTTATTTTTGAGAGACAGAGAGAGACAGGGCATGAGTGGGGGAGAGGCAGAAAGGGGGAGACACAGAATCGGAAGCAGGCTCCACGCTCTGAGCTGTCCGCACAGAGCCCAACGCGGGACTCGAACTCACAAACCGTGAGATCATCACCTGAGCCAAAGTTGGACGCTCAACGAACTGAGCCACCCAGGCGGCCCCCATTGTTGGTACTCTTAACCTCAACGCTATAGTGTCTTGACACAGCATTTCAAAACATGCTTCTGATTCCCTGGGGTAGGATTCCAAAAGAGTTTTGCTTTGTTTTTAGGGGGGAAGGTTCTGAAATTGTTTCTCATTGTAGTTTGAGACCCTAACTGTTAAGATTTATATTTTAATAACAACAATATGTTCCAGAAGATAAGAGCATTCAAAATTTTATTGTAAAAACAATATAACATTAAATTATTGAAAAAAACACCATTCATAATCCCAACACCTTCACGAATAGTTTCATTTTTATTTCCTTGCAGATTTTCTCTATATGCCTCACACATATGCCTAACACATCCATACGGGCAGGGGACACTCACTTTGCTTTCTGGCAACAGCAAATGGACTCTTCAAAATCATTTTGACCAACGGGGGCTTTCATTTGGCTTCTTTACCTTTGTCACATAAGCCTAGGTTATAAACCTAAACGCCAACCAACAAGGATGGCCAAGAGCTCAGAGGAGTGCCGTGAAAACACCCAGAATCGTCTGTGGAATGAGATGAAAATAAGTAAAAGAAGGGGAGAGAGCCATCTTGTCCTCACAGACAGAGGGCAGCAGCACGCGGCCACTTCCTGCACCTTTGGTCAGTTCTTAAGAGCCAAAGAACTAGTATTTGAATGACTTTATCTGTGTTGGCCGCAGCAAAGGTCATTCAGGCAGAGATCTTATTCTTCCCAGATTCCCTTCTGCATTATAGGATGAATATAATCATACTGTACAGAAGCAGTTGGAAATTTATAATTCTGGAGTATTTCCGCACATCTCTTTATATGTAATGAAATCTGTGAAGGGTAAGAATGTTGATCAGGACATTCACTTCAAATGTGCATAAGAAAGATTAAGAATATATATATATTTTTAAAATCATAAAAGTTGATAGCTGAATCATTTGAGGGTGCCTATTGTTTTTAAATACTCTTAACGTTTATTCACCTTTTGAGAGGTGGAGACAGTGTGAGCAGGGCAGGGGCAGAGAGAGAGGGAGACACAGGATCGGAAGCAGGCTCCAGGCTCTGAGCTGTCAGCACTGAGCCCGATGTGGGGCTTGAACTCACGAACCGTGAGATCGTGACCTGAGCCGAAGTCAGACGCTTAACTGACTGAGCCACCCAAGCACTCCTTGAAGGTTCCTTTAATGACTAAGTTATAAATGCTTCACATTACCTATTTTACTTAATTAACAATTTTCATTAGATCATCATTCAAACAGTTGACATGAAGCCTTTAATTCCACGTGGATCTGATGCCTCGTACAAAGCAACCCGTGCTGTGCTCACATTTCACATCAGGTGGCCAATGCAGTTACAGTGCTGAGGGCACCAGGTTACTTACAGAACAGGATTTTCCCAGCCTCCCTGATAAGTGACAGGGTTTCACATCTGTCACGTCGCAGAATCAGGTTAGGCGGCCTGACTGCTGGGTAAAACAAAGTGTTTAATACATAAATAACTAGGCTTTCTTGGACTCAGGCTTATAGTCGGAATTTAAATTCCGAATCTAATTTAAATAGTATACATAAGTAGCATTTACACCAATTTATTTTTAAGTCCATCCACTAATCCTGATATGTACAAAAACAACAGTAAGCTCAGTTCATTCTGATTTTTAAAATGTCTAGGGAATTTTACCAACAGACTAATTTTAGAAAATAACCACCACACTGTGACATTTTGTTTCAATGTGTACAGAAACCAACAACAACCGGAATACCCAAACAAAGTAACGCTTTCTTGTTGAACTTCATTCTGTTAAATGTTTTAAACTCTGGGAGAGACTTTTGCAACAATCCGTCAGGACTCCCCCAATTTCTCCATTGAGGGAACTGAGGCACAGGGAGGTCAGCGACTTATCTGAGGTACTTGGAGAGAGAGCCAGAGCCCCTGCCCATCACAGCTGGTCTGGCCTTGAGGGAGGAGGCAGTCCCCAAAGGAAGACAGAGGCCAGTCCTTCAGTTCTTTACTTAGGCTGACATAGGGGCTCACACTTTGGGGCTCGCACCTTGAACAAGCATTCATTACAGAAAGGACAGGTGCATCTGAAAAGCTAACAGCACAGCTAAAAATGTATCCATGTGCAGGTTGCAAAGGAAAATGCAGCATTACCAGGATCCTCACACAAACCCAAACTCTCTAGCCAAAACTACTTGTCATTTGACATCATACATGTCTTACGTAGCTTACTGTAAACCTTGTAGGTAAACCTACTGTAAATCGTGCAGGTTATATTCTGAATTTTACTTGCCAAAAATATTTCTCTTGCAACATTTAAAAGCCTAAGTTCTTAGAGTACATAAGAAAGAATTTTCCAGGCATGTTTTTTCTTTCCTACAAACATTCCTGTTTTTTTAAACTACTAACAATAGTTCAAAGTTTCTGTAAGTGCCATGACATTCCAATTGTCTTCTCTGTCAGATAAAACTGTACTGTTTTCCCAAAAGAGAAGTCAGTGATATTTTCTCTTTACAGGTATTTATCATAAACATTTAACTCTGGAAATAAAGATCTATCCTTTAAGTTGTACCTGTAATTTGGGAAACCAGCTGTTTTTTGCCATAGTTTCTAGCACTGACCTCATCATGCATACCCTATATTAAACATTTTGAATTTGGGTTTTTTTTTCCCCCTACACTTGTATCATGGTATGAAATACCAAATGTTTTTAGAAAATTAATGACTTTGATATCATACATCTAAATTGAATCAGGCTTCTATCAGAAAGCGATGTCTTGAATTATATACATAGAAATGAGAGCAGAGAGCTATAGTGAGAGCAGCCTAATAAGTAGGCAATGTTTTAACTCCAAATAATACCAAATATTCCTAATGCTTAAAACTTCCAATCTCAGAATTGTTTAGGCTAACAGGTCCATTCAGCTTTTTTGTGTGTGCAGATGCAACATTTAATCACTGATTTCAGTGAGCAGAGGACTCTCAGAATTAGGTACACATCTGATTGCACATATAAATATCCAAGGATCTGCCAAGTGAAAGGCCCACAGACCATGGCAAGAACAAAGAAATGTGTCCTAGTTGCTTTCTATGGATTACGCAACGTCTGATGGATTTTGTTCTCCAATAGGTTCTGCTGAACAATTTTTTTGTTGTTGTCATGAAGCAAAACAGTTTGGTAAGAACAGAAGAGTTACTGTATTAGAAACAGAAGAATATACTTAGGGCGTGGTTTTAAAGGATATTTTCCAACATTGGGTCACAGAATGCCCCAGCCTCCTCTTGTCTGGGAGAACTGAGAGTTTGGGGAAGGTAACAGAGATTCCATGCTGCCGTTGTGTATGGGAGGAGCGGGAGGGTACTTAGGAAACTTTTTGTGTTGTCTCTGAAGGTACCCTGAACCTTCAGATGCAAAAGAATTTGAGCTGGCCCCTATTCAAATGAGGCAGAAGGTGTTCCTTTTATTAGTTAAGGTCATAAAACTTTTAATCGGCTTAAGACCTTGTGGGTGTTTTAAAACCATTATCACAGACCGCGCACAAACAGATCCCATACTTTCACTGTGAGGTACTGGAATCTGTGTGCTCAGGGAGGGTGGGAGGAAGTTGGGCTGGGAGGGTGGCCCTTAGGACCGCCAAGGCTGTAATACTTATATCTGCCCCTAGTCCTTGGGCCTCCAAGCTGTCCTTGTGAGACTGTCAATTCCCTTCTCTGGTCCCCTTTCCCACCTTTAGGGTACAAAAGAAAAAAAAAATCCTTGTCAGTTTTCAGCCAAACCAAAGTCTTGGGTTTTATTCCAAATTACCCTTGGAGAGTTAAATGCGTGCGTTTTCTCAGCCTTATTTCCCCAACGATGTTCTCTCTGCACCACAGGCAGAGGTGGTGGCACTGCTCAGGTAAATTCCAGCCTGGGTCCCAGGGTTTTCCACATTCTTTATTGAGCGAAAGAAGCAGGGGCCACTCAGCTTCTGTTACCCACACCGTGGTTCCGGTAGTTTATGCTATAACCTGCCTTCGAGAAGGTCTATTTTTTTTTTTTAATTTTTTTTTTCAACGTTTATTTATTTTTGGGACAGAGACAGAGCATGAACGGGGGAGGGGCAGAGAGAGAGAGGGAGACACAGAATCAGAAACAGGCTCCAGGCTCTGAGCCATCAGCCATCAGCCCAGAGCCTGACGCGGGGCTCGAACTCCCGGACCGCGAGATCGTGACCTGGTTGAAGTCGGACGCTTAACCGACTGCGCCACCCAGGCGCCCCTGAGAAGGTCTATTTTAATAATAGATGTAGATTTACTAACTTAAGCATGTAAGTAAAGACCACGATGTTTGACTCATTGGCACGTATGGATTCGTGGTCAATGTCCTTTACCAAAAAACCCAGCTTTGATAAGACAGAACAAATGTTATATGGTTTTTCTTTCAAATGGTTATTGTTTTTAAAAAGCTGCTGAAATTCTGAGCCGAAGCTTTTGCATTCTAACCCAGTCTCAGGGCTAACTGGCTCAAACTGACATGAGACAGTGAGGTTTCCCCTCTCAGGGTCAGTGTGAGGGTCAGGGAGCTATGCAGTTTCCTCCAGAGCCAGCTCTCCTACTGGCTAGCAGGCAAATTCCAAGGGATAGATAGGATTAAGGGCTCCAAAGAGGATTCTGCAGCCCTCCCCCAAAGGAGGATCAAACACTGGTCTAGTTTTGGAACAAAAAATAAACCCCAGCAAAGGAGAAAGTGCCTCTTTAAACAGCATGTGTCCCTTACCAAAGCTCATGCCCCTTCCAGGCTGGCTGGGGAGAGCCCTTTTTAATAGGCAAGTGTGTGCAATGGATCCAAGCATGTGAGGGCAGGCTCCACATGCCTTCTCTGGTTTCCTAAGTAGGGTCATAACTTGGGGGGAGGTCAGCATCCCAAACCTCTTCCCGCTGCTTTTGGTAACTAATGGATAAACTCTGCCAAGAAGCTCAATCGTGCACCATAGAGATAGCACTTTGCATGAATGTCTCTGCACACTCTCCTAAACTTAGGCCCCAAAGGATTAAGGTAATAAAACCTGCTTACATCTTCTTACAGTTTTGTCCAGGAAACAAAGTCACCACCCACACAGAGCAAAACAACCCCACCCCCACTCATTTCACCTCACCCCCCCTTTCAAACTGCCCCCCTGCGCGCGGATAGTGGGAATCACTGGTAGAGGTGGGGTAATCCGACTCAGACTCCGTTGTAAACGCGCCCCAGCTGCACAAGCGGTAACCCATTAACTTGGAATCTAGGGTCACTGTGGACGGTTTTCTATTAATAGGGGATAAAGCTGCTGCATACATTAGCGGTAATGCCCTGGCCGCCCGCGCAAAATTAACTCCTCACAGGCCAGCACCAGGCAACCATGTTCTGCCCAGGCAGATGTGTACACACACACACACACACACACACACACATAGAGAGAGCTTTAGAACCCCTTCCCTTAAACATGCCAGATCCCACTCCCATCCAGAGTGCAGGCAGTGGCAGTCGTTCCTGAAGGATGTCTTCGGGGAGGGAGCAGCGGCGGCGGGTAGAGTCTTCTGTCGGTCAGCTCAGCTTCGCCACGCAGATGGCCAGGGCCACGGCCGCCAGCAGCACGGCGCTGAAAACGGTGGCGGCTAGGGCCTTGCTCATGTCGCAAGGCCCGGTGCGCTCCTGTACAGACACGACGCCCACCGAAGAGGCGCCGACGCTGGACAGGAGCTCGGCGCCCGCCGTTTGGCGGGCCTGCACGGTCCAGCGGGGCACGTTGACCTTCATCTCCATGTCGTTGACCATCTCGCTCACCTGAAGGATCTCCCGCTCCAGCTCGCGCAGGTCGTCCACGTCGAAGTCGCGCTCCGCCTCGTGCCGCAGGCTGCGGGCGCTCAGGGCGCGCGCCGCTACGCCCGCGGAGCCGCCCGCTACGCCGGTGCGCACCAGCGGCCGCCGCGGCGCGTGCAGCGGGAACGCGGTGCCCAGGGCCAGCGCACGCCGCATGTCGGCTTCCAGCAGGTCCAGGCAGCCAGAGAAAGCCACCCAGAGGCGCTCGAACTCCGCGCGCTCCTCGGCGCCCAGGCCCCGGTCGCGTAGCGCGGCCGTCAGCTGGGCGCGGATGGCCACCGCCAGCTCCTGCGCCTTCTGGCGCGTCTTCTGCAACTCCTCACGCAGGTTCTGCGAGTCTGCCGAGCCGCCGACGGTCAGCACCAGGTGGTGGTAGCATGCGGTCGTCTTGTTGAGAGCGTCCAGCAGCGCCTTGCACTCCTCCCTTGCCATGGCGGTGCGCTCGGGCGCAGCCCGGCCGCCCACACCCCTCTTCGCCCCCAAGCTCTCAGCGCGGCAGGACGCGGCCGGCCACGAGGACAGCCTGGGGCCGGGCGGTCCGCGCGCTTCTCATGGCCCGAGACAAGCTCGGCGCTGCCGCTGTAGACAGAACCTCTCCAGCCCCACGACGTGCGCCTCCGCTGACCGGACGCACGCAGAGACAGAGCCCCGTTAGCTATCTCTCATCCCCTCGTCCATCATTTCCTGATGCACTCCAAGTCACACGCCGAGTCTCTGCACCGCCCTCGCCTCCACGATGGTCCTCTGCGAAGCCCGGGTTGCGGTCCCCATCCTTCTCCCGTGCCGTCGCCAGCGCTAGCGGCCGCCGAGCCGCGCGCGGCGCCTTAGCCACAGCCAAGGGCTGCGGGGTCGGGTTTCTTAGGATCCGCCCACCCCCGCCCGTCCTCGCGGAGCGCTTGCAACTCTTGGATCTGGGATAGGCGGGGCCCCGCGCGGGGAGGTCACGTGTAGGTCCCCCATCTCCCCCTCCTCTGCACCCCATTACAGATTTGGAGACTAGCCCTCGGCAGTTCCAACCCTCCAGTATCGTAAAGATGGGGAAACCGAGGCACAGGTAAAAGGGAGCCTAGATCACGCGACGTCCGTACAAGTGGGGGAACCAGAACCCAGGGACCCTAACTCCTAGACCCCTTCATTGACATAGTGGTGTCCCTTGTAGGACAGGAGGACTTCGTCCTCCGAAGCTAACAGTAAAGGGCGATCCACAGGGCGGGACGACTCCCTGATGCTCCCTATCCAGATCCCGCCCGCTTTCTAGGGACCAAGCTTGGACCCCACCTCTAGTGTCAGATCAGCTTTCGGCCCCGCCCCCTCCCGTTCCGGGCACGCGCAGTCCGCGGCTCCAGGCTGCTCCCGCCTGAGTAGGAAACGCTGTGCGCCGCCTGAGCCCCACCCCGGCTGGGCGGGCTCAGTGATTGCTCTGTGCACACGTCACTCTGGGTAAGGGCTGTCGTTCATTGGCTTGACCAGGTGCGGCTCCGCCCAACGGCGGAGTAAAGGGGTGGGCGGTGGAGCTGAACTGCTGCGCTGGGGTGGTGGGCACCGAGGTCCGAGTCGAGGGCCCGGGAGGTGTCGCCGCCGCTCCTGGAAGGGCAGGGAGTGAAACTATGTAGCCTTTTAAGTAAGTGTCCTCCCTCTTGTCTCCTTCCGCGCCTCCCTTACTCCGGGACGGCTGCGCCTCGGGGCCTAGTGGCCGGGCGGGGCCCCAGAGCTGGAAGGGGGAGGGGCTCTTTTCTCACCGCCGCGGGAGCCCCGCGGCGCCCCAGGCTGGGCTGGCTGCCCCTGGACGGCCACCCCAAGACCCCAGTCCCTCGCTAGCTGGGCCGCTCGCCCGCGCTCTCCGGGTCCGATCGGCAGCCGGGCTCTCTCTGCCCTTCGTGTGCGGAGTGGGGGATGGCGAAGAATGCGCCCTCTGATCCCCATGACTACGGGACGGGTCAGCGGGTGCGGGGGCTGTGAGCTCGGACTTGGGGGCAGTGGGCGGGGCCGTCGCCCCAGCGCTGAGTGGCCTCAATGGTTTGCTGACTGCCTGACCCGGCGGCTGGAGGGGGAAGATGTGGGTGGGGGTCCGGAGCCTCTGGCCTTGTGGTCCCGGGGGAGGGGGGGGGGTGAAGGGGCAGGGAAGGAGGAGGGAATCCCTGTCAGTCAGTCGTCTTTCGTCCTGCTGGGTAAAATTTACTCCAGGAAAACTTAAGCACCAAGAGATGTTCCAGATTCTGGGTCTGTTCAGTTCTTTTCGTTGAACATAGACTACTGTGGGCTCTTGAGCCAGGCATGGCCCCTGGAGATGTTGGGGACTTGGGCACTGGAAACCGAAGCCTGTGCTGGGTCATCACGGAGCAAGTGACCCGTCTTCCTTGAGAATTTAGGACATACAGGGAGGGAGGAGCTGGCGAGACTGGAGGGACTACTAGTTTGCATGCGAACTGGCGTTTTCCAAGTTTATGGGTTTCGTGGGGGAGAGTACCCTATTTTGATTAGTGCAAGCCTCCCGCCAGCCCCAGAGAAGAGCAGGGAATCTTGGTGAGATATTAACGTTTTGAGTCTGCCTCCCCCAGCATGGTATTGAGGCAGTCCAGAGGATCCAGAGTGCTTCACCCCAGGGTTCCCTCTCACTGAGCTCTCTGTCCTTTTATCTATTGATTTGGGGCCGTTTGGGGCCAGGGCTTGGATGATCCAGGCCGTGGCCATTCTCTGCTGTGTGGCTCTTAGCCGCCCACTGGCCACATGGGGCCATGGCAAGGGAAGAGTAGTTTTCAAGACAAAATGGACAGGAGGGAGAACCCATCACTTTGGGGAGCTTTGGGGACAGTGGAGGGAGGTGAGGCTACTGAGATCGGTGGAAGGCCAGAATGAGAGGTCCTTAATGCCAGGTGGAGAAATTGAGAGTTCGTCTAGTAGGGAGTTCAAGTACGTAAGTCCTTGAAGAATATAGTAGCCCTTTTTAATCTGTGGGGGATGTTTTCCAAGACCCTTACTGGATGCCGGAAACTTTGGATAGTACCAAATCCTATACCTACATACCTATGATGAGTTTAATATATAAATTAGGCACAGTAAGAGATTAACAAAAATAACTAATAAAAAAGAACACTTATTCATGAGGCACTGTGATAAAAGTTATGTAAATGTGCTCTGTCTCAAAATATCTTACGGTACCGTACTCATTCTTCCTGTGATGATGTGAGATGATAAAATGCCCACGTGATGAAATGAAGGGAGGGGACCCGATACGGGTTATTATGATACTGTGTTAGCTACTGTTGACTTTCTGACCGTATGTCAGAAGGAGGATCTTCTGTTTCCGGACTCCAGTTGACCATGGGGAACCAAAACTGGAAGATGAAACTGAGGGTAAGGGGGACTACTATACCATACAGACCTCAGTGTTGCAAAGATCACTTTGTTATCTTTTCATGTGGACCAGTATGAGTAAGATCAGGAGGTAGAAGCCCCTGAGGGAGAAGTGCAGGATGGGAGCAGGGACAGACACTTGTGACTAGCCCCAGCGACAGGAAAGCAGTCGGGGCTCTGAAGTGGAGAAGCTACTGGGGTGAGCTCTCTTGACTTTGGCTTGCCATCTGAAATCATCCTGCCTGGCAGCATTGCCGGGAGAGCAAGCAGTAGTGTCTGCAGTCAAGGTCTTCTTGATTGTGTCTCCTTGTGGCTCTTGGACTGCATTGCCCTCGTGAGGGCAACCGCTGGGTCTGTGCACCGTTAGTGTTTCTGTGGGGGCTCTCCCTCCATTTGTGAATTGTCAGAATTAGATTGGTGGCCAGTAACTTAATCCTCTCCTAGAGGAGCAGAGGAATGTGGCCATGTGATGATAGATACCAGACCTCGAAAGCATTCAGACCCAAATCCAGACCTACGTCTGCGAGACACCGAGACGCGGCCCTCGGAACTCCTGCCTTTCTGCTCAGGATTCTGGCAGGAGTTGGGTGCCGGTGCCTCCTCCGGTGACTTCCGGAGCGGGGTGTAGGAGTGGTGTTCTGAGGGGCGGTTGTGCTCCTCCAAACTCTCCTGCTTAGTGGTCACACCCCTCTTCCAGCTCTGAGGCCTTCTCTCCCTGTGTGGCCCTCCACGTTCCAGCTGTCACTGCGTATGGCCAGCTCTGAGCACAGTTTGTTTCTGGCTTTTTGCCAGTGCCTGCATAGCTGCCTGGGGCCAGCTCGTCACCCTCCCCTGGATATGGGCAGTGGATTTTCAGCTCCTATGAGAGATGACACCTCCCGGGGAGCTTGAGCTTCCTCTAACACCCCGCTATCATTTTGTTCAAGTGGACGACACAGATACAGCATGCCTACGGAGAGCCAGCTGGCCACAAACAGGCTGGAAGCTTTGAAGGAGAGCTTTGAGAAAAGTATAGATAGGATCCACAGATGTTACAGGCCGGAAGGACATAAGTGACTGTAATGCCATACGTTACACCATCCAGCTGCTTCCATTTGCTATTAAATATAGATGAATTAGAAAGTTTTGCCCTTTTGCCTTTCCCTTCTGAATCACAGATGAAACTAGTTGGAGAATGTTGCTCATCATTTGGAAAATATGCCTGATCAAGACCTTTGGTGAGGGCCCTGTAAGGGTGGGAGCAGCCAGAGCGGTGACATTTCAGCTGGGAGTTTATCTCTGGGAGGCACAGACATTACCGTGTTGGATTGTGCTGAGCGAAGCTGCACGCTGTCATCAGATGGTCCCTGACCACCCAGCCTCATCTAGACTGATGGGACGGTTGAAGACCACAAAACCACAAGTGTGCACACCACGTCTTGAAATGTCCGGTGCTAGTTTGAGACTTTGCCTGGCTCTCCTGTTCATAGGGTCACCTCGGATAACTCATGTTCAGGGGTATTTGTTACCTGTGACTGATTTCACATTGGAGTTGCTGTAAATCATCCCATCATTTGAGCTTCGTCAGGGGTGGAATTTTTTTCTTAAAGGAGTTTTATAAGAGGATTTACTCGTCTTTCCCGTTTTATGAGGAAGAATCCATTTACTTTGCATGTTATTTTAAAATCTAAAGCCAATTCTTGCAAGTGAACTTGTTCAGGGTGTTAACCTACTTTAAGTATTTACCTCCGTATGAGAATTCCATTCTGGCATTAAGCACCAGACTGCATCAGATTATTATATGTTTTTAACACTGGGAGGAAAAGGTGGACAACAGTTCTGGACAGAGCTCTTGGAATCCTTACTCCTGGACAGAGGGTTCAGTCCTTGGCAACCAGGAGGAATGATGTCCAAGAGAAAACAGTTGACTTGGGACTGAAACACAGCAAGCTCTGTCCCATTCACCAGCAATGCTTGCTCAGTCTTGTGTGTTTCGTGCATTTGAATGGAATGTTTTTCTTTTTATAAATGTTTTTTTCATTTTATTTCTTTTTAGAGAGAGAGAGCGCACAAGTGGGAGAGAGGGGCGGGGGGGGAGAGAGAGAGACAGAGAGACAGAGAGACAGAGAGAGAGAATCTCAAGTAGGCTCGATGCTCAGCACAGAGCCCAACGTGGGGCTCGATCCTACGATGTTGGGATCATGACCTAAGCCGAAATCAAAGTTGGACGCTTAACTGACTGAGCCACCCAGGTGCCCCTGAATGGAATGTTTTGATGTGGCCTTCAGGGGCCTTCCTTTACCTTGCTGCCCCTCTCTGACTGGCACTATTTGGATTCTTGTATTTCCCTGGACTCACTCATCTGTCAAGAGAAGTTTACTCTTGGGTTTCTGTTCCTGCTTCCCAAACCCTTGTCTTACTCTGGTCCTTGCCAGGGAGGCCTTCTCTGCTCCCCACCCCACCCCCTTTCCTTGCTTCTCCCTTCTCTTGCCTGGTCCTTACCTGCCGCAGCGCTGCTCTGGGTTGGTTTTACTCTGCTGATACACATTCCTTGCCTCCCAGCCAGGTTGTCACTTCCTCCATCAGAGTTTGCCCTTGTCGCCTCCATCTTGGGCATGGAGGTGTGGACGCTGAGCCAGCACCTTGTCTGAGAAGCAGAAGGAGTGTCCCTTCCCAGCTTCATTCTGCCTGTATCTCATCCTGTCTCTCACGCGGTTTCTGTCCAAGGGGTGTTTACTTTTGCACTCTGCTGTGTAGAACCAATTGTGTCAGAAACCAGGAAGAATTTTTGTTTTCTTGTGACTCTGTCCCAGCAAAGTCACATTATCCACTCGTTCTGGTAGGGACTTGGTAGGGACTCGTAAAAGGATTATTTGGACTCCGGTAATAATTGAATTCAACAATTCAGGTACCTGAATTGTTCA